TACTTGAAAATTAGAAATAATCAGTGACTTTTTTTGGACTTTCTACTAAGTCTACATAAGTCTTTTACAAGGCAGAGAAACTTTTTTTTTTAAATCCCACGTTCAAAGTCATCACTTGTCGAAATCCCTGGGAGACTCAACTGTTTGAAGGACAGACTATCCCACTGAAAGATGAGAGACAGGGGTGCATGATGTTGGCAAGATTATCAATACTACTTGAGTTGTCATGCAAGGATTCGAAGGTATTTTCAAGAAGCTGTGACTGGAGAGCAAGATTTGACTTTAGCCTCCAGGCCACCAAGGGCCTGCAGCCAACGGAACTTTCGGACTTCTGAGAAAACTGTGAGGTGCAAAGAATGCTTTCCTTGACATCTAAGAACATGGCGTGATCCCTTGAATCTGAAAAGAAATGATACAACCCTGGCTATTCACAAGGTATTTAGGATCAAAAGTTAAAGTGAGATTAGGTTAAAGTACGCACAATGTGTGAAAGTGTTTCACCACTGTAAAGGGCTCTGCAAATATTTGGTGTTGATGTTTCTGATTAGCTGAGCCCTGAATTTATCTGAAGGAAAAATGAGTTTGAGTTTAAATGTTACAACTAGTTGTGTGACTCAAAGTCACTCCACTTTCTTAGTGTGTTTTCTAGTTTAACGGAGATCTTGTTGGCCTTACGTCACACGATTATTTAAAAACTCAAGTGGACATGGAAATGTTTGGAAAGCATAATGCGCCGTAAGATCTGAGGGGTTATTCTGTGGCCTTTCAGTTGGTCAAGGCCCCCTGGAGTCTCAAATACCATGCCCACCTCTTGTGAGAATCACGGGAGGGAAGAGAAACGCTTCCCTTAGATAGATATGCTCCCAAAGTTAATATTTAGATTCTCTTTTTAATGTACTGATTTCCCTTCCATGTTAAATTACTTCCATAAAAATTCCTTAAAGGATAAGGTTTTTTGGGTTTTTTTTGTTTTTGTTTTTTTTTCAAAAAGAGGCAGCCAGAGTGTAGCATGCTCCTTCCAATTTACCAAATCAAGAGCCCATACTCAGGTTGGAACCCTACATCCACTTCCCAAAAGGATGGGACTTCATGTACCTGAGCAGTCTATACTACCTGTGGAAATATGGGGCCTCTGCGTCTGGGTGTGTCAAGGATAGCCAAGACTGAATTAAAACACTAGAGGAGGTTGAGAATGGCTGGAGAAGCAGCACGAATAATAAGAAGGGTTGAGGAGGTGGCCATAGGTGACAGCCTTGCTGGTGGGGGAGATGTTTCCAGCCTGGGGGGGAAGAGGGAGAGAACTCAATCCTTGTGAAAAGCTTCTGGCTCAAAGCAGATCCCAGCCTTCTGTGGGTTTGGCAGGCCATCCGGCCCTCAGGCTATGATTGGGACCAAGACTTGCAGGGGGGGCATGCCATGGCCCAAGGTGGGAAGAGGCTGTCCTCATTTAGCAGACTGCAGACTCTCTATGTCAGGGTCCCTATTCTTTTTCCTCACTGTGGTATCTCCAGAGCCAACATGGTGCCGGCCATAAGTACCTGGTGCTCACCAGTACCTGCCTAATCAGTAACTGAAGAGCTGTTCAACTGTTAACACTGACAACAGAAGCAAAGGTGCAAACTGCCTAGGGCTACTGCCCAGTATGATAGCCTGAAGCTGGAGTAGCCCAGAGAATCACTTTTTTTTTTTTTTGGAGGAAGATTAGCCCTGAGCTAACATCTGCTGCCAATTCTCCTCTTTTTGCTGAGGAAGATTGGCCCTGAGCTAACATCTGTGCCCACCTTCCTCTACCTTATATGTGGGACGCCTGCCACAGCATGGCCTTCTGAGTGGTGCCATGTCCACACCCAGGATCAGGCCTGCGAACCCTGGGCCACTGAAGCGGAACGTGTGTGTGCACTTAACCGCTTCGCCACCGGGCCTGCCCCGAGAATCACGTTTTTTCACAGCTATTTAAATCTGACAGTTAAGGCTACAAAATCTTTTGCTTCATAGGCACCACATTTCACAACACACACATTACAGTACCTGTTAGAGTATAATTACAGTATAATTCATGGTTTTTACATTTCAAAAACTATAGTCCATCGAATTAAAATTTTGAAATCTAACACTATTGTCCATGACACTAGGAGTATTTATTCAATTAGATCGAAATCCTCGGAGAAATCAACTCTTTAGCTTTTGGGGGTGGGGAGGCAATTTGATTTATGCACAAGAGGGGATTTGGGGCGGGGACGTTTTGGGGGTTTGGGTATGGAGATTTTTAAAGCTTTTATACTTTCCTACTTCTAAGTGGATATAAACTGTCCTGACCTCCAACTCTTGGCAATGTTTGTCTAGGTAAAACCTTTCTTTAAGATGACCTTGTCAAAGTAGCCCTTGTCAAGGGCCTTGTCAAAGAAACAAGATAGCTGTTGACAGTACAACGATGCATGTACAAAATCTGTTTAACGGTCATTGGTGTAAGTAGATTTATATACACAGAAAATAGTTCCATTTTCTCTTCGCCAAGCAATCAAGCAAAACACTAGGACCCACACAATTGGTAGGCTTAGGCCTTGGGTACGATGGCTGCGCCCCAAGACATGACCGCCACCTGGAGGGCCCACGTGAAACTACAGGGCAACAACGGAAGAACCTGATGTTTTTAGGCATTAAGGTACAATTTGTGAACAAGCGGACAAGAGAGGCAGGAATGAACTACCTTCGTCCCAGAGCCTGAGCTCCTACTATTTCAAGCTTCCAGCAGAGGACTGAGATTATTGTTACTGGGTGAGGTACTTTCAGCAGAGGTGGGAAATGACACCCTAACATGAAGAGTATTAACATCAGCTCATCAGTAACTAGAGGTCAGGGAGCACTAGGCAAGAGGAGAAACAGGACAATGTGTCCCCAGTCTGCTGTGTCCTGCTGTCCCCTCTCCCTACCCTGAACAGGGCCTCATACAAACCCATCAGAATTTTTATTCTCAAGATGTAAATGACTGAGTTTAGTTTTTTTCAGAGGCATTTGCATTTTAATAGGTTGAAAGTCTTCTTTTAAAAAAAAAAAAACGAGAACCAGCAGAATTCCCAGTAGATGTCAACTGTTGGAGGGGCTATGGTGGAATAAGATAATCATCTCCTTTATCAAATAATTATTCCTTTAAAAAAAACTAGGGCTGGGGCTGGCCCCGTGGCTGAGTGGTAGGCCCAGTGTTTCGTTGGTTCCAGTCCTGGGCGCGGACATGGCGCTGCTCATCAAGCCACGCTGAGGCACATCCCACATGCCACAACTAGAAGGACCCACAATGAAGAATATACAGCTATGTACCGGGGGGCTTTGAGGAGAAAAAGGAAAAAAATAAAATCTTTGAAAAAAAAAAACAAACTAGGGCTCTTCTTACTGATACACTGATTTCTTTCCTTATTTTTATTTCTTTTATTTTCCCTTTTTCTCCCCAAAGCACCCCAGTACATAGCTGTATATTTTAGTTGTGGGTCCTTCTAATTGTGTCATGTGGGACGCCACCCCAGCATGGCCTGATGAGCGGTGCTAGGTCTGCACCTAGGATCCGAACTGGCGAAACCCAGGGCCACCAAAGCAAAGTGCGCAAATCCAACCACTTAGCCATGGGGCCGGCCCTGACTGATACGCTCATTTTAATGAAAATGTTTTAAAAGGAGTATGTGAGCCCTCAAAAGTTTGCGTAGTTAAAAACATCTGCATTTCCTGTTTACATATTTCTAATGGGATACTGGTATTTCTAATGACATAGTCTCCTACCTCAAAGCTTCTCAAATAGCTCTGGTGAAAACCTTTTTAAAAAGCTTTCCAGGGCCAGCCCTGGTGGCCTAATGGTTAAGTTCGGCATGCTCTGCTTCAGCTGCCCAGGCTTCGGTTCCTGGACGTGGACCTACAGCGCTTTGTCAGTGGCCATGCTGTGGTGGTGGCTCACATACAAAAAGAGGAAGATTGGCAACAGCTGTTAGCTCAAGGCAAATCTTTGTCAGCAAAAAAAAAAAAATTCTCCAATCACTTGAGGGACCAATCCTTGTGTAAATTAAAATAAAAATTTTATGGCAATATCTAAAAGTTAGTCTGTCTGTACTTATCTTGTCACAGACCGTTGACAGCGTGCAAGCTGGCATTGGTCTGTGGACTGCACTTGGGGATCACTGCTCTGCTTCCTGTTTTCTCTCATAAAAAGTACTTGCCTTTGGCCTAAAGATCTCTGCCCACCATGACCACCACAGTTACATCCAAAAGCTTGACTTACATCTTCCTTCCAACTTTTAAAAGAATATGATCTTTCAATCCACGATAACAAACATTTCAAAGACTTTCTAGTCCCCCATTTTAAACTGAACTTTGACTTGAAATGTGTTTGCACAACCCCCTCATTCCCTTGTCTAGCTCAACCCGGTTCAGTTTTGCTAACTTTATTTGTGGTGAATTTGGCATCAACACCAGAAGCTTGTGTCAAACACTTGGGTAGCACAGAAGTTCAGGTATTTGAGGATTCACAGGAGAAACCCATCTAGAAAAACTACGTAACTGACAAGACAGACACTTTCTTTTTTTTTTTTTTTTTTAAGATTTTTTTATTTTTCCCTTTTTCTCCCCAAAGCCCCCCGGTACATAGTTGTGTATTCTTCGTTGTGGGTTCCTCTAGTTGTGGCATGTGGGACGCTGCCTCAGCGTGGTCTGACGAGCAGTGCCATGTCCGCGCCCAGGATTCGAACCGACGAAACACTGGGCCGCCTGCAGCGGAGCGCGCGAACTTAACCACTCGGCCACGGGGCCAGCCCAAGACAGACACTTTCTTAATATAAAGATTATAGGAAAGCTTCAGTTGAATATCTTTTTTTTTCCCCCCGAAAATATAGGTTGAGAGGGTCTTTTGAGAGAGAAGCAATTCTGGTTTTCTGAAATTTCTTTCATCCACTGGTTAGAAAACAATGAATTCCTTTTGTTCTTATCCCATTAATCCCAAACTGAAAATGCGTGTGGCTATATAGTAAGTAAAGTGTTTATATGTTCCCATTTATAAGGCACAAACCCCACAAATCTCTCAGGGAAAGGTAAAACAAAGATTTGAAGACAATAAAGTACCCTGGTAACAGAGGTTCATCAAACTGGAGTGAAAATGAACCACTTCTCTTTTTGGTCAATTGGGACTTCATACTGACAGGAAAAGTGGCCCCTGTGGAGAAGGCTTCCACGGTGCTTTGATCAACGCAGCCCCCTTCATTGGATCAGTGCGGAAGTCAGTCCTCAGAGCAGGCTGCGTGGCCAGGACACGTCAAGTGCCACCTGCCATAGAAGCTGCTGGACGGTGATGTTCCAAGCAGAGCATTCCACCTACTAGGTGTCCAGTTCACCATTCTTACCCAAAGGAACCTTCAAGGACCAACCCACAGTGAGCACACAAGCTCGCCTGTCCTGGGGTTTGATTATTTTAAGGGTTCTGCTCTAAATTGAGGCACAACTGCCTATCTGAGAGCCCTGAACTAGGGTGGTTACATGAGTCCTGCATGGGGCAGCATCTATTTAAGAGGCTGGACTTTGGATTCCTCTTGAAATAATCAGATCCTTAGTGGGACTCTAAGAACCAATTCAGGGGCCGGCCCGGTGGCGCAGCGGTTAAATTTGCATGTTCCGCTTCTTGGCGGCCCGGGGTTCGCCAGTTCGGATCCCAGGTGCAGACATGGCAACGTTTGCCAAAAGCCATGTATGGAGTGGAGGAAGATGGGCATGGATGTTGGCTCAGGGCCACTCTTCCTCGGCAAACTGAGGAGGATTAGCAGTAGTTAGCTCAAGGCTAATCTCCTAAAAAAAAAAAAAAAAAAAAAAGAAGAACCAATTCACTCTACCAGGGGCTTTTTGAAGATGGTCAAAATCTGGAGAAGGTTCCCTGGGGCAAGCCCCCGATATCTTGTCCTGTAAGGCAGCCCTAAGAGATCTTAAGCAATCCTGCAGTCCACAGGTATGAAAACAGAAGGGTCCCATGACACCAAACAGTATCCATGCTTGTTGGTTAGGCCTCTTGGCTCTTGGCACTGAACTTTCTAGTACCGTTTACATCAGTATTATATGAGAATAAGCTTCCTGAATGTCCACATGGATCCAAGCATTTCCTGGAAGGATGACTGCTTCCTGGTCCTCTATATTACAATGCAAGGTACGGATGGGAGTGAACAGCTCTTCAGAGAAACAGCCAGGCAGATGTCATCCTGAGAGAAGGGTCAGTGTTAGAACAGGTGAGAGAGAAGGGACCAGAAATCAGGTAAACTGAGTAGTTCCTTACGTCTAAGGGTTTCACTGAATCATCTTGAAGATTCTGACTTCTCCACCCTGGACAATATGAAATCAGGTCCTTGGGTCAATTTATTCAATTACCAAAGAGCAGCATAGTAAGATGGCCATTCCAACAGAGTGTGGACCAGCCACCTGCTTACACTTTAGTCCAATTCAGAATTCTACTAAATTTTCAGGCATGAAGATGGTTCTCTTTAATTCAGTGTTCCATGAATCTTAGCCAAGGTCCCTTCCCTTCCTGTTCCTTATAAGGCTATGACCCAGAGGGACAAGGAATACTCCTTTTATTAACAATGATAGCAACAACAAAACTCTTGAATCCTTTGGCTTTCCAATGCCATAGTCATAGCATACCCTTGGAAATACGTATTAATTTAAAAGCCAACTCTTAAAAACAAAAAGTCAACACCTATTGTCGTATCAAGTTTTCCGGAATCACAGTGGGCCACCTCCACACCTTTCCCCACCTCCCAGCCTCAGGAATCTTTCTTCGTCAGTCTGGCTTTGACTTTGTGCCTCAGGAGGGCTGCGGTGGCAGCGCTGCAGGCGGCCAAAAAGAAGAAGGAGAGACAGGCCATGTAGATGGACAAGGCGCTGTGGCGCTGCAGGAAGATCTCCTGCCGCCCCTGGTAGTCCAGGAGGACGGCCTCCAGCTGGGATAGTGTGCAGACAGACAGAAAGGCGTGGAAGATCTGATGTCCATGGCCCACAATGTCACAGGAACCCGGGAAGTACTTCTCAGGGACCGGGCAGGAGAAGAAGTAGGCGCTGACCAGGAAGAAGAGGATCTGGAGCGTGTGGTACCAGGCAGCCTGCTCCTGGCACCCAGCCAGGTGGCACAGGGCCACTCGGTGTGCCACAGGGCTGATGTCTAGGATGAAGGCCAGCCCTGCAGGGACCACTTGACAGATCTTCCTCATGACTGGGTAAGGCCTCCGGTAACGATACTTGGCATAGCAACAGCCAGCGCAAGACAACCAGCCACAGAAGGCAGCCGCTGGCAAGAAGAAAAGCCAGAAGCGCTCGTACCAGGCCTGGTCAGAGCTGTAGAAGAAGTGAACCAAGGCACTGCCGTACTGGTACACGCTCACGCCAATATAGTCCACAAAGTAGAAGGTGTAGTGGGAGAGCTCCGACTTGGACTGCAGCAGGTGGGCCAGGAGGCTGAAGGTGAGGTAAGTGATGGAGGACAGGACATAGAGGAGCAGGGGCAGGGCGTGGGGAGAGGCCCACGGCAAGGCCTCAGCCTCGGCAAAGGCCCAGAATCGCAAGAGGACAGCCAGCGCCGCCAGCAAGTGGGTCCAGACATTGACCACCTCGTTGTGTTTCTGAAAGAGGCTGAGGAAGTAGTAGCGCCACTCGTGTCCCGTGGGCCGGTAGCCCGTGCGGATATAAGGCTCCCGGAAGAGCTGGGGCACATCTGTCTCCAGCACGGTGCACGGCATCTTGGGAAGCCCATCCTCCAGGATCTTGGGCAGACGGCGCAGCTGCTGCCCGCTCACAGACAGGGTGCTCAGGCGCTCCAGGATGGCGGTGGTCATGGCTCCACAGCACGGCCGGACGGGCACGCAACCTACAGGAAGGAAAGTAAAATGGGCAAGAACGCAGTGAGAGAGGGACGGAGCTAAGACAGCGAAGGGACTGTGGGTTTTCTTAATGGAAAGTGGCTTCCTAGTGCATTAGGGGAGTCAGGGAGCTGTAGACAGCTTCTTTGAGCCCCATTTTTTTAATCCCTAGAACAATAGAGTTGGACCAAGATCCCTTACTACCCTAACATTCTGAGTTTGTCACTTCTACACACTAGAGTGAGGCAGTCACAGGCTGTAAAATGGGAATGTTAGCCACCCTCTTTTAACGATATCTAGAGGTAAGCAAGGGTACCTTTAAAGGCTGTGGAGTTTTCTAGATATTATTAAAATCTAATCATGAGGCAGGCTCTAATAGTCTGAAATATTTTATCGAAATATGAAACTGATAAATATTGATATTACTAATGATAGCCTACATTTCCTGAGCACCTCATTTTAAATTATCCACTAATTTATTTGGTAACTTGAAAATCTGAGATAAGCAAAGGTAACTTGAACCTCAAAGTAAAGAGAGGCAAATGAGTCATCCATTAGGTTGGTAAAGACCAAGGCACTCCTGGGAAATATTTTAGCTGTTGAACAAAATTAACACATGGCCTAAATTTAACATAAAATCTAATTGCAAAGATTGAGTTTTTTGTTTAGTTTTTGGTTTTTAAATTAGGCTCTGGAAAGTAAGTAGTTTTAGACTTGTCTCTCCTGGGTACCTAAATCCTGGGTACTCAATGAATTTCAGGTCTCAAAAATGCTTAACTTGGGGGCTGGCCCAGTGGCGTAGTGGTTAAGTTCATGAGCTCTGCTTTGGCGGCCAAGGCTTCGCAGGTTCGGATCCGGGACATGGACCTAGCACTGCTCATCAAGCCATGCTGTGGTGGTGTCCCACATAAAATAGAGGAAGATTGGCACAGATGTTAGCTCGGTGACAAGCTTCCTCAAGCAAAAAGGGGAAGATTGGTAACAGATGTTAGCTCAGGGCCAATCTTCCTCACAAAAAGAAAAGAAAAGAAAAGAAAAAGCTTAACTTACACTTAGAGTTTTTGGATGATAGATGAGCCAGAGAAGCACAGTGATTATTTTATAAAATAGCAGCAAAATTTCATGTGCCTTTACTGAGTAAAGAAATGGATTTTCAGCATCTCTCCAGTTACCTTCTGTACTTCACATTTCCCAAACTCTTTTCCTCAGAAAAGTTCAAAACCTGATTTATCTAAATGGCCCCCTTCCTTCCAAGCCCTTCTGCTAGGAGAGAGGCAGCAAGTGCTTCTCAAGGCACCACTAATTTTAGGGAAGAAAATTTAATCTTCCTGCTCACCCCTCTTAATATTGAAAGAGAAAAATATCTAATCAGGTCTAAAATGTAGGGCATGAAAATTAATAAAATGTAAAAAAAGTTCAGGGAGACCTGGAGTCCAGCCTGGTTTTGGCCACTTACTGGGTAACCTTGGGCAAGTTACAGAACTCTCAAGCTTCAGTTTCTCCATCTGTAAAATGGGAGTAATAATTCCCCCTATCATATAGGTGGTTGTGATGGTTAAATGAGAGAATCTAAAATACGAATGCTCTGCCTGGCCCAAAACAGGTGCTCAGTCAATGTTAAGTACTAATGTTATTATCATTACTGAGAGCTGGGCTCTGTGTTGGGGAGACAAAGACTGATAAGATAGACTCCGTGCCTTCAAGAAGGTCAGAGTCGACTGGGGCAGACAGACAAGTAGCGAAATCGTGACAAAATGTGGGATTGGTACCGGCTCAACACAACGTGAGGGAAGCCACATTGTAGAAAAGAAACCTTACTGTAACTCCCAATGACCTCTGATTAACTAGCCCAGACATGCTCTGTAGATTTTGTGGTCCCTCCAAGCAGCAATAAGATGCTAACTTTGTTCTTTTGAGTCCTCTAAGAATGCGATGACCCCCAAGGCAGAGAGTCTATGCTGATAGCCATCATCAGTGACATTTGAAAGATCAGGGTATAAGCCTTGCTCCATTCTCTGACGCACATCTAATCCAGTAAAACAAAGGACTGTCAGGAACTAGGACAAATGAAGGTCAGATGGAGGCTCCACTTGGAGACCAGTCATGCATATAATTGGCCTGTAGTCTTTGTTCTGTAGGATGGTTCTTTCAGACAGGAGTCGGCCATCTTCCCTCCGGCTAGCAAGCTGTAATAAAGAAACCCTTTCTCTCCTACTGCCCTGCCTCCTGACAACGGCAAGGCACTTCTCGTGAGCAGACGACCCGCCTTGGGCAGTTAACAGGATGAGCACTCCCTGGGAGGCGAGCCCCGGTTCACAGGCTGGGTCTCCGCAAACACAACCAAAATAGAAGGTAGGGGAGGGAGGAGTCTACAGGCTTCTCCAAGTGACCCCTGAACCTTGTCTTGAAGGAAAAGTCAGAAATCCCAAGAGAAGATGAGGGGGAAAGAGATCTCTAGGCAGCGAGTAAGGTCAAAGAACTGAAGCTGAGATAAGGCCCTGGAGAGCCCTGAGCGCCTGAGGAGCTCTCACTGTGCAGGTCCAAGTAGGACACTGGCACCAGAGACCTGAGCTCCAAACCTGAGCTCCAACCCTGAGCCCCACCCACCATCGACAAGCCGTGGAACTCCAGCATGGGCTCTGTCATCTGGGAAACAGAGCTAATGACAAACAGAAGCTGCCTCACAAGGCTGATGCGAGGACCGTATGATGTAATGCTTGTAGAGTGCTTAACAAAGTGCTGGGTTCCAGGTCCACAAAAACATCGGCCACTATTAGGACCAACACTGTGCGAGCAACGGGGCTGGTTCACCAGTGGAGGATCTAGTGCCCCCTCTGCAACACGTGCCTACTTCTGTGGTGGCCCCGTAACACTGTATTGGGTCATTTGTTTAGCCAGTACTGACCAGTGTTTCCCTTTTAGGAACGGGCCATGGACTGGTGCTCAATGTAGGAATTAAGAACCCAAGAGAAACTTAGTAAGGATTACAGAATCAGTCAGAAAGACAGAAAGCGGGGCTGGCCCGGTGGCCGAGTGGTTGAGTTCGCACCCTCCGCTGCGGCGGCCTGGGGTTTCGCTGGTTCAAATCCTGGGTGCGGACATGGTACCGCTCATGGGGCCATGCTGGGGCGGCCTCCCACATGCCACAACTAGGAGGATCCACAACTAAGAATATACAACTATGTACCGGGGGGCTTTGGGGAGAAAAAGGAAAAAATCAAATCTTTAAAAAAAAAAAAAAAAGACAGACAGAAAGAGGGAGAGTGGGAGAAAGAAAAATGGTCCTCAGAATATATAAAGCCATTTAAAAACAAACAAACAGAAAAAGCTCAGTAGTGCTTCTGCTGTCAGCCAGCAGAGGGATCCGGGCGCCTGAGAGTGAAGGGCTGGATGGAGAATCCTCCAACTGATCTGGGGGCAGTTGGTGACCAAGCACAGCAGGGGTAAGGGACAGGGGAGGTGGGAACAGGTCGGGTACACTCGCCCTGGGATCAGGTGGACCCACCGCAGGGCTAGGCCTGGAACATGATGTCCTGTTGCTGTTGGCCGAGAAGCATATAATCTGGGGGAGCGGGGCTTGTCGGTGCATGGGGGAATTAAAGGGCTCTGTTCTTTAGCTACAGGCTTCTGCCAACTCTTGTGAAGCAGAGAGGGAATCAGATGAAAATATCGGTCTGTTTTTGTGGTTGGGAGAAATAGAGGTGAGTCACTGGGGATATGAGATATAGAAGAAGGAACCCCTAAAGATGCTCCTTGATAGGTCCCACCTGCATTGCCATCTAAGATCAAGGACGTTTCCATCACCTCTGGGCACCCGAATCAACGGAGACACTTCTGCATCCAGAGTTAAATAACACAGGAGCGCACACTTTGTGCTCCTCTTCAGAGCCTCTACAACAGGGTGCCAAGCACAATTGCAGGCTCTTATAAACCAATGGCGCAACTGAATTTCTAAAGACTGAAATCTTGGGTTTTGGTTGTCTGATGGTTGGAACTGAGCACAGTTCAGACCTGGGAACCAACTGGCCTCCATCTGTTCCGAGAGAGAAAGGACAGACCATGACACTGCCTTATTGTCAGTTTACAGAAACCTGTCGGCAGAGCTCTGACCTCAAGATTCCTCCAGTCCTCATACCACCAATCGAACCTCAGGGCTTTCTGTGGACAAGTCCTTTGCAGAAAATTATTTCTACTTCTCTCCTGCTTGTGGAAAATAAACTAGGAAGAGCTTTATAGAACTAAGAAGCAGAGAGGTACAAGACCAAAAGGATATTAACTTTAATTTCCGTGGAAAAGGTCCACAGTAAAAAAAATTGACAGACCCATCATTTCACTTGAAAATGAGACCTACTTTTTCAAGGATCTTCAAAATGCAGCCACACCAGTCCCGGAGTCTCCTTATAACTCCATCCTCTGGAGTATGTAGCCGGACACCGACAAAGGAACTTCCATGTTCCAGGGACGTGACCACCATGGCCTCCAACTCAGAGTATGACCCGTCTCCTCCCTCAGCAATGGGAGGGCTGCAAAGACCTAGGTCCTCTCTCTACAGAAGAAAAGGGTCTATAATTCCCTTTGGAAGTCCAGGGTCATGAAAAATTCTAAACTAAGAGAGAGAGGGGATTCTTTCTTTCTTTATTGCTTAGCAACTACCTCTTCCCTGCCACAAAATCCCCTTCATCTGAGAGCCGCCACCACAGCCACAGCGACGGTAATGAGTTATAATTCTTTCTTCATCACTAATTTCAGAAGCAACTGCCCAATGCGATCCATTTACCCCAGACAGGCCTTACTTTCACCAAGCCAGAATGGGCAGTGCTTCCAGAAGTAGGCTTCAAAGGGCCAGCTGTAAAGTCTGAGAGCGTGTTTTGGAGGAAACCACATGCTGGCATCATGATGTGGGCGTAGACACACATCTTCCAGCCCTCCTGGTGGCAGCTCTGCGTAAGGGCCCCTCCGTCATTCCTGGCCTCTGTCCCCCTGCACTCCTCCATCAGCTGACAAAGACGCATCTTAGAATGATCTCCTTGCACACAGTACACTCCAACTTCTCTGCTGGGACAGCTGAAATGTAAATCTCCCTCACGAATCCTCATGACCTGGATAAGCTCAAGTCTTGATAATTTTGATCAACCAGAGAGTTTTTCAGAGCAAGGATTGTCTGCTCAACAATATTCCAGGCCACAAAGGCCACAGAGGAAGAATAAAATAAGACTCCTTACCTCAAACAGCTTATGAGAAGAGTCAAACTTCATGAATCAACAGCCAACATCAGCAGACTGCATGGAATCAAGTGTCAAGTAGAGTGAAATACAAACAGGTCTCTAGAGAGCAGAGCTCACTCAGGGCACGCTGGGGCAGCCGTGGGGGAAACAGGACTTGTGCTGGGCCTGGAAGGCTGGACGGGACTTAGACAAGTGAAGGGGTGAGGAGCGGGGCGTTCCAGGAAAGGGTTGAAAAGTGAGCGTATGAATGGCGTGGCTTCTTTGTGGGCCCCTGAGAAGAGGTGCTGTTGGGGAGGAATGAGGAAGCGAGTGGGGTAGGTGCCTGCAGCATTAGATAAGGAGTTTAGATGTGATGCTGCAGAGGGAGGATGGGAGTCATTTCTCATCCCTGAAGCTTTAGCTTGTTCAATCCTTTCTGTCACCTGAGCCCCGGGGGATTCACACAGCTGACCAATGCCTCCTCTCTTGGCTTAAGTGACACTACCCTCTCCGGTCTCGCCTGTTTTCTTCTCCCACCATCCCTGTCAACTGTGGTTTTCCCGGGGAGCCATCTGCCTCCTTTTCTGCATCCATGGTACCTCTCACACGGGTACTTCTCCCATGCCCCTGGCTTCAGCTAGCACCTGTATTCCCAAACATTTGCCTCCAGCCAGATCTTTCCTGAGGTTTGGATTCAAATATCCGACGGCTCTGGATTTGTCCAACTGAGTATTGCACGGGCACTTCAAACTCAACGTCTTTACACTTCTCCTCCGGCCCAGCCCCCTTGATCCGGCTACATCTACTCAGTCATCTAGGCCTGCTGATTTTATCTCCACGTTTCCGAATCCATTCGTCCTTTCCATTTCTACTGCTCTCCCTTAATCCAGGCCTTCAAAATGAACTTATGTAGATGATGAAAACGGCAGACTCATAACGGAGCTTTCTTGCTCAAGCAATGGTTCCCCTGCCTCATGTCCCCAGACCCTCACTTCATTCTCCAAACCACATCCAGGTGACAGTTTAAAAATGGAAATCTGGGGCAGGCCCAGTGGTGGAATGGTTAAGTTTGCACGTTCCCACTCCGGCAGCCCGGGGTTCACCGGTTCGGATCCCGGGTGCGGACATTGCACCACTTGGCACACCAGGCTGTGGTAGGCATCCCACAAATAAAGTAGAGGAAGATGGGCACGGATGTTAGCTCAGGGCCAGTCTTCCTCAGCAAAAAGAAGAGGATTGGCAGCAGATGTTAGCTCAGGGCTAATCTTCCTCAAAAAAAAGAAAAAAAATATGGAAATCTGATCACCACTCCCCTCCACAAATCCCTCGGTAGCTCAACATTATTTACAACACAAACTCTAAACCCTTAACCTGCAAACAGGCCCTTCTGTCGACCTCTTTCCTACTCCACCCTCCTCACCCAGAGAGGGCCCCTGCCTCCAGGCAGCTTCGATGGCCTAGATTATAATACTGGGAGTTTTTCAAAAGTGCCACACTATCTCCAGTGACAACCTCGGCACCCTCGGCCCTGCAACCCCAGGTCATCAACATTCTGCCCGGGAGCCAGCTCTGCCAGGCGAGGCACGTTTCCCTACGCCAAGGCCAGGATTAGGGCTCTCCCCAGCACCCAGCTGCCTGGCCTGCCCCCAGCACACTTCTCTCCTGACGCCCCATCACTGGCTCCTCTGCTCACTTCCCCAGTCGCTCCTTGAGGGGCCAGGACTGCGCAGTGTGCAAGTTCCCAGGTCAAAAACAGCATGCAGCCTATAAAATAATTATACACCTAATAATTATTTACTGAATGAACAGTTCTTCAGGCCCAGACATATGGCATCAATTTCCTTCTGTTTGGCGAAGTTGAGGGAAAAAAGAAATAATGGTTTGGGAGTTGGGAGCTCTGGCTGTTTTTATTCGCTCTACTCAATTAGCTGTCCAGCCAAGCCCAAGACATTCAACTCCTCAGTGTCATTTTCCTCATGAAAAAGGCGGTGGTGGTGGTGGTGGTGGGGGTGGGGGGGTAGGAGGAGGTGATGTCTCTCCATCTCTTAGGAAAATAAGAGAATAAATAATAACAAAACGGGCAGCAGTTGGAAAGTACTTTGAAGAGGCAAAACATGCACATTGCAGTACTAGTAACATCTGAACTAAACCCACAGAAGGATTACAACTTAGTCATGTATGTTTCCTGCCTTATAATTGATTTTAGTGCAATCTTTGAAAACTGAAAAGGAATTTATCATTTTTGGTTACATTTCTGGGACTCATAATACTTCACCCAACTGCTTTGTAGAGAATTTTAATTAGACTCATTATAATGGAACTGGAATTAAAAGTTCTATTTTAATATGAACTATTATTTAACTCCTCTATTTTAATAACCTGGGTATGATATCTGCACCATGAATTCATGAATTCAGTTAATGTTTATAAGAAAGTGTTTTAAAATGTTACATCATGCTTTGGACTATTTGGGAGTCTAATCTTAACATTTTATCTCAGATGCTCCTTTAAAACTATTTTCTCAGACAATTACTCTGAGAAAAAAATGGAAAGAGAAAAGCAGGGTAAAAATCTATGTTCACGGCAATAATTTGATACTTTAGCCAAAAATTGTGTATTTAGATTTTCTTTTTAAAAAGAAATCACAACTAAAGTATGCATTTTTAAGGTTGGCTTTATTTACCTAGTTTTGACTGATGAAAACTACCCAGCGTGCATTTCCTTTTCAGTAACGTTAAATAAAACAGTGAAATGACCTGTTTCTGGTGACTCTTGTGGTCCCATGAACACAGTAAAAACATGTGTCAGATGCCCATAAATAACCCTTTAACGTTCAGAGAGGAGCCGTGTGGACGAGCAGAGCAGCGTCTGGGTGCGTCTCCAGTCTCCCAGGAGCAGATTTAGTCATGTACACCAGGTACGCTCCCTGCCCTCATGGCCCCTCGCACCCTCCTCCACCTGCTGGGTTCCCGCTCAGTGGGAGCACTGGGCTGCTGCTGCGGCCACTGTTCTACTTTGGGTCCTCATTATCTCCCACAGGAATCTCTGTATGATATAGGAGGCCATTCCTTTGGTCTCCACCTGTGTGTCTCCGTGACTGTCCCCAACCATCCCCACCCTTGCCACTTTTCTTTTTTTTTTGAGGAAGATTAGCCCTCAGCTAACATCTGCTGCCAATCCTCTTTTTGCTGAGGAAGACTGGCCTTGAGCTATCATCCGTGCCCATCTTCCTCTACTTTATATGTGGGACGCCTACCACAGCATGGCTTGCCAAGCGGTGCCATGTCTGCACGTGGGGTCCAAACCAGCAAACTCTGGGCCGCCGAAGTGGAACACTCGAATTTAACCGCTGCATCACCAGGCCAGGCCCCCCAACCCTTGCCACTTTTATTTGGTGTCCCAGGAATTCTGCCATCCTCTCAGTCCATTGTGCTTGTGCACATGCCCACACCACTGATGCCCACTGGCCAACTCCTATTCATCCTTCATGTCCCAGTCCAAATTTCCTCCCTGAAGCCTTCCCCCCAGATTCTCCTTTGCACTAGCCTACCACTGCACTAGCCCTCCATTATCGCACTCTCCTTACTGTATAGCTACGATGTCCTGGTTTACGTTCTATGCCTCTCTGCCCAATAAACTGTAAGATCCTTTATCACCTATCACTGTGCCTGGCTCATAGCAGATGTTCCAATAACTTGTTGAATAAATAAGTGAGTGAAATGAAAATGTCAGAATAACAGAGATAACAAACACTTATATAGTGTTTATCACATGTCCGACAGTGTTCTAGGTACTTTGCAAATACTAACTCATTTAAACTTCCCAACACCTCCCAGGCATTAGTACTATTATCATCCTTCTCATTTTATAGGTGAGGGAACACAAGCACAAGAGATTAAGTGACTTGCCCAAGGCTACACAGTAAATTACAGAGCCAGGAGGTAACCGAAGCAGTTGGCCCTAGAGCCTGATCAGCTAACCATTATGCACTCTAAGACTAAACTCAAATACCTTTCGATGATATGCAACTTCAGATATGCTGCTGCACCGCTGCTCTGCTTCATTATCAAAGGTAATTTGCAGTTGGCCTTACAAAAGCAATCAGGGCTGCAAAGGTTCCAAGCTCTTCGCCAGAGTTTATCTGTCAATCACATTCCAGGACTCTCCGAGAGAAGAAAACTGCCACAAGATCTGAGTGGGATCTATCAGACAACCCAAGTGGGTCTAACCCAGATCATAAACCCCACGGGCCTCTTTCATCTTAAAAGATGGCCGGCTTTGCAGAACTGTGCATTCCAATCACAAACCTACAGCCTGAGGTCGTTTCCTAGGCTTTTGGAGGAAAGCACACTGACACTGGGAATAGTCACTGAATTCTGCTACACTTGTAGCATGCTACCCAGAAAGCCTTTCGCTGATTAACAAAGGAGAGAATTAAATAAAAAGCTCCATATTTGGGAAACGGACACAGTTTGGTAGTGATCACATTTTATCTAGAGGCCAAACAGAAGCACTCCAGAGCAATGGCGTTTCCTGGTCTCTCACAAGGACTCTACTTGAACGGACCACAAACTTGGCAAAGCTGATTCCCCGGAAAAGCACTGGACCAGGAATTAGAATTAGTCCTGACTTCTAGTTTCAGCTCTACCACTCATTACAGGACTTTCGGCAAATCACTCAACCTCTCCATGCCTCGGGGTCTGTGTCCATAAAATGGGGGTGTAATCTCCCCAAGCTGTAACACCGTGAAATTCTCTAATTCCTCTGGGCTGTGTTTGCTTTGTAAGGACGGTCAGGCAGTGTGCTGAAATCACCAACAGACAGATCCTGTGACATCACCTCGTGTCACTGTGTGAGCAGCTCACACAGATGGCAGGAAGGTGGCCTGCTGGTTGTTGGACAGAGAACAAAAGAACAGCAATTTCCATCAAAGAGGGCAAAAGAAATGCTTCCAGAATCCACGGAAGCCCAGCCTCACACATCACTGCAGAACCATAAAAGGCTGAGAAGGAACAGCAACCAAAATGCCAACTTAATGTCTAGTTATAAGGACCAGAACCATGCTTTGAGCAGCCTTGGGTCTAACCAGAGACAGAAGTGGAGTTGCAAACAGCCTCAGATGGCTCCAGGATCTCCACAGTCATCCATTAAGCGAGAGGCCACTGGACCCACACCGATCTTTGTAGCCACATCGGCCAAGGAGCTTATCACTGTTTATAAAATCATATTTCAAGGAGTGGCACTACCAGCAGAAGCCTATTATTAGCAGCAATAATTTTAACATGGATTCAGATTTACCAGCAGTCAACACATATCCTCCCTATATTTAAGAAAACCTAACACACATAAATAGCATCTTGATATCCAGAAATAGGAGATCTGACATAATAAATTATGATAAATCTATACAGTGGAATACCATGCACCTATTAAAATAATTATATAGATATATTTACACTTATTGTTAAAGATGCACATGAAATATGTGTGGACTCCATTGTCTTTTCACTGTAGCTGCCCGGCACTTAGAGCAGTGACTGACTAGCACACAGTAGATGCTCTTCAAAGATTTATTGAACGAATAAATGAATGAAAGACACCATTACAAGGAAGAAGCAAGTTAAAAGTATGCATCCCCTTTTAGTAAATATATACATATGGCACAGAAAAACCATGGAATTCCATATAGTCAAAACATTACCACAGATATTGCTAAGTGGTGGGACTATAGAGGAATTTTACTTTTCTTCTAGGTAGATACTATCATTATAGCACTTTTCAACAATGAACATTTACTACTTTTGTAACTTAAAAAGTGAAGTTATTGCTATTCTACAAAGGAATGTTTGACATAAACATGTAAAAATTGGTAAAACATGATTAATTAGTACAATGGATATTAAGACACCCTCCCCCACAAAAAATACTTATAAAGGTATACATATTTGCATTATTCTGTGGATTTTGAGCTCAACTAGTTAGCCGACCATATTAATAAAATTATTAGTAGGAGTTACCTAGCTGTATTTGCCATAATGTAAGCAAACAGTCATGGCGGGGGGCAGCGA